TCTTAAATTGGGGAAAATTTTCTTGATTTGTTTTTTGGATGATTTCTTCCTATTTGTTTTCTTTGTTGTTGTTTGGTGTGTGCCATCTGCAATATTTCTTTCTTTCTTTTTTGAGACAGAGTCTCAAACTATCTATTGCCCTGGGTAGAGTGCTGTGACATCACAGCTCACAGCAACCTCAGACTCTTGGGCTTAAGTGATTCTCTTGCCTCAGCTTCCCAACTAGCTGGGACTATAGACGCCTGCCATAGTGCCCTGATATTTTTTTTGGTTGCAGTTGTCATTGTTGTTTTAGCAGACCCAGGCTGGGATAAACCTGCCAGCCCCAATGTACATGGCCAGTGCCCTAGTCCCTGAGCTATGGGTGCTGCCCACATCTGCAATAGTTGCATATTAAATTTCCTGAATGGGGTCTCAATCTTTATGATGTATTCCCCTCTGTTTTCCTGTCTTTGTTTTGCTGTATTTCCCAGGGTATTTCTTTAGCTTTATCTTTGAAACTCTCAGTTTACTTTTGAATTGTGACTTCACATTTAGATTTTTAGAAGTGCCTTTTTTAGGTGACCTCTGTACATTCCTCTTTGCCTTAGCATTGTGTTTTTACTTCATCCATATGTCATCTCCTCTTATCTTATGGAAGCTATTACTGATCTTAGAAAAAATTCCTCTCTGTGCAGTTTTATTATCTCCTGTCAAGTTGTTTTTTCCCTGTGTGCTTTAGTCCTCCCCTTTCGTATCGACACTGCATCTTCCGCACTACTTGGCGATGGCTCCTGTGTGAGAGTGAGACACAGAAAGCTGACTGAGAGTCTTGTGTGTCTGGTGCTGTTTGGGAAGAGATACTCACTGCAGATTGCTATGTTGGTCTGCCTCCTTGGGGAACTACCATGTTAGTATCTGAGTTTTCTCTCAGGCTTATGAGATTCCCCAGTAAGACTGAGCTTCTGCCTGAAGGATGTATGTCTGGCGGCCAGCTTTCTGGGAGCCAAGTTGGGGTGAGAAGGATGGGGAGTCTCAATATTCCTTATGCATGGTTTCACTTTTGGGGTATAGTGTTTCAATACAGTGTCACAGTATAATGTCAGCTGTGTACATCACATTGCCCTCTCTAGAGTACACACTCCTTGGGAAAGAACAGTACTCTGCTACATGGAGTAAGGAAGATGGCCTGGAGCCCTAACTGCTCCTTAAATAGACTGTAATTCTTTAGCCTCATCTTCCCTAGCACTTCCAGTGTAAGCTGATGAGCCTTCTGGTTGGTTCTGCCAATATGGCTGCTTCTCAGCTTTCACCACGGCTGACTTAGGACCTTTATTCCCCCATTTGTTGAGTAAGTTACCTATTAACCTTTCACTCTTCAGCTTTAATTTTTTTGTTGCTGTTGTTTCTCTTCCTAAGTTCTTCAACTCTACTGTTTTATTCCTTCTGGGAATACCACTGCGTTGTCCTTTCCGAGATGTAAATGACAACATGGAGGTGAGTGAATTCACTGTCCTCTCTTTAACAGGAAGTTCAGGAGAAATTCTTGGCTTTTAGAAAACACTTCACAGTACCTCATTTAGTTGGAAAAATGTGGACCACATACCTCCTATGGAAAAATCAAACTTTCTCCAAAAGAATACCCTCAAGTGATGGAAACCTATGTGATTTTTTCCTTCCAGTAGAAGTAGAAAAAGTGTGAGCTTCAGCGACCTCAGAAACCTTTGACTTTGTGATTCTAAATCACCCAGACAGCTAGATCATCACGGTTCTGCCCCTGTCAAACTCCCATACCCTTAAATTAGAGACTCCTGAGTCCATTTCCTTTAGTCTTTTAATGTTGGCCTTTTAATGTTTTCCAATAAGTGCTTTCAACGGAGCAATACACATATGCTTTCCTCATTATTATTGTTCCATCAATAAATATACAAAAACCATAGCAAGGGTGTGCTCTGTAAAATCAAAGTAGCAATAACAACGGTCATTGTAAAGTACACAGAAGAACAATGAGCTATTCTTTGAAAACTCAACACAAATGATTTGGAAAAAGACATCTCTAGGCCATAAAGGTGAATGGCCCGTACTATTCTCATGCTTACGTATATTTTACTTTTCCAGAGAAGTCAAATGTTTCCTTTCTTCTAGTCCTCTGCGGTAATAGCATTGAATCAATGTTGGCTATAAAATCGATCCTTGGTGTTATGGATCGCAATGTAGAAGTTTTTGAAAGGTTCTGCTGGAAAAACCCATTCTGTTATGCTAGACACATGGTTGAAGGTGTCTTTTGCTTCATTTTACTCAGAGCTAAATTTAAGGGAAGCCCTCAAGAGGCGAAAGATTTACAATTGCAGGGAAAATTACATCTTAAGCTCTCAGATTGCTTTGCAAAATAATTATTGCCCCCTTATTTTTATAAACAAGACCCAGGTTGATGAATTAGCCCAGGTCACCTGGCCAATCACCTGGCCAATGTCTTTTTCTGGAATTCTGGAATGACCCATAGTCAAGTTATGCTTCCAGAATTACAGCTATTATGTGAAGGGGGTGAGAAGACATCTTATTCCATGGACTTCAGGCAATATTTCAGGTTAGGATGAAGACTTGGACAGCTCTCTATGGTGGCCAAGGAATGAAAGATCTAGACCTCCCTTATTTCTACCTTGAGAACACAGAGGTCTATCCAAGTCAGAGACTATACAAGAATAAAATGAAAGATGATATTTAATTCCAAAATAAAACTGAAAATAATCTCTTAGTCTAGCCTATTTATTGGGAAAGTCTAGAAGGGGTGGAAAACCATCCCTAGCTGTGAGAGACTTGGGTGACCATCCACGGCCCCAAGTGGAATCTGGGGGACAGGTAGAGCCTGGTACACCCTCTCGACTCTGGTCCCATACTGGCACGCCATATTTGGGTTAAGGAGCCTGAGTGAACTTGTCTGGGTGTGCGGCAGACCCAGTCAAGCTCTGGGAAAATAAGGGGCAATTTGACACTAGTGAAAGTAACAACACAGAGTGACCTAATGTCTTTTTCTTTCAACTTGAAAAGAAAATATAAAGAAAACCAGACAGCTGAATATGAAACTGCCTATGATAGTCACAGAAGAGAAAAGAGGTTTTGCAAGATCATGGGGCAGGGTTAGAGGGAAGGGAAAGAGAAGGCAGAGGCTGGGAATGAGGGTAGAAAGTTGGCATCTCTGCTTTAAAGATTCATCTACAAAGATGAACTCTTTGTATAAACCCAACCTTTTTCTTTTTTGAGGCAGAGTCTCACTGTGTCACCCTGGGTAGAATGCTGCGGTGTCACAGCTTAAGTGTTTCTCTTCCCTCAGCCTCCCAACTAGCTGGGACTACAGGTACCCACCACAACACGTGGCTATTTTTTTGTTGCAGCTGTCATTGTTGTTTAGCTGGCCCAGGCTGTATTTGAGCCCACCAGCCTTGGTGCACGTGGCCAGCACCATAACCACTCTCCTATGGGCACTGAGCCTATCAACCCAACCTTGATTAGGTCAGAACTTTTCTTCTTTTTGCTTTGTGGTCTGAGAAACATTCCTTGTAATCCTATAAGTTTAGGTAATAAGTGACTTTTTATGGGAGCCTAAGAAAGAGGGTCCCACTTTAGATGAACCCTTACTTTACAGATTCAATGGCTTCTATTCCAAGCAGCATTTGAAAGTGCCAGAACCAATGGGACATCATTCCACCCGTGATGAATAAATGCCACAAAGAATTGCCAAGTGGGGAGAAATATAAGGTCAGAGGATCACATCATCTCTCTTGCTTGGCCCTAAGCTTGTCTATCTGGTGATAAGATTCCAATGGTGGGAAGTCCTTTGGAAGGATTCCCAGGCACTTAACTCATTCTGAATAGCAACTGCTTGTTAAAGTATATATACACACAGCCCACAATAGTCAGACGGGGTGTACACTGCATCGCCCCACCCCGAGCCATTCAATCAGTTGGCCACTGACCATGCTCCTTCATTTCTATTGGCTTCTCCTTTAATTATCAGCTGACAAAAGCCACTTCCGCATTGTTATGGAAATCATGAGTAGGGTCAGCATCTATGACATGGGACCCCACAAAGGACAGGCCATGCAAACCAGTGCGACTATTCCAAGGCCGTTCTCGAGAGAGAGGAGGAGGCATTAAACCAAGAAAGCGGCTGTGACTCCTCTGCTCACAGTTCTGACTCCACAGGACAGCACAGAAAGCCTTTGGCCAGTCTCTGAAATCAAACAGTACTGCCTTCCTTGATCTCCATGAGATCTGGCTGAGTGGGTCTGAGTGGGGGCTGAGGGGCTCTGGGAAGACCTCAGAGTCCTCTTCCACTTTCAGATCTTCTTGGTGAGCTCCAGAGACCCAGACTTTGCTGGGTTAGAAAGTGAAGGATCACAGCACAAAAGTCAAGATGGAAGAGGTGCAGATGTTTATTAAGAATCAGTTTGAACCCTTTTACGCCTCTGACAAAGTAACTTTAAAAAAAATCATACTGATCAAAGGACCTCCAGGGTTTAATATTTCAAAAAAAAAAAAAAAACCAAAAAAAAAAAAAAAAAACCAAACCACAGATAAATAGCTTACTACAGATAAATAGCTTCACCCTTTGGGTGTCTCCCGGAAGCATCAGAAAAATTTCCAGGGGGGTTGGTAGAAGTGGGTGTGTAACCAGTACACCCCAGCCCCCTATCCCACTGGAAAGTAATGTCCAGGGATTGGGCTGCTGGAGAGGCAATACAGATCCAATCAGATTTCCTCCCGGGGACCAATCCCTCTTAGCCCTGGGGAATGTCCTTAGCTGATGGCTGGTACCTGGGAGTAGGGCTGGGGGTAGCTTGGGGATTAGGAATATGTATTTGTGGATTTTATCAGAAGCCATCCTTAGCAGACCGAGGAGAGGAACGGCCTCTAGGCGGGAACTGGAACGGTCACCGGTTATGAATTGGGCCCTAATTTCAGAAAGCAATGCCGTTTTTAGAAATTGGACCGGAATTCAAACAACAAAACACAAAAAACAAAAAGGAATAGAAAATTTTATCCTTACAAAAAAAAAAAAAAAGATTCCCAATGAAACAATCAGTAGCACATTGCATCTGTTAAGTGTCCCAGTTCCCTGTAATATAGTTATGACTCCACATGTTTGCTTTCAAGATAACGGTGTTGGCATTACATCCCAATCTTCATGTCCACGTTCTGCAGGTTCCGCGTCTCATCAGCTGTCATAAACTGGTCCTGGGTCTCTGTCGGCTCCTTGTTCACCAGATGCACCATTTCCTGAGACTTGCTGGCTTCTCCGTTGAGTCCACTTGGCTTTCTGTCCTCCATAGTTCCATTGCCATTGTTGATCACCAGCTTTTTCTTCTGTCCACACCTAGTAATTTTTAGAAAATTATATGAGAAAAGTGCGATGACACAGTCATCATCATGATGGTCGTCGTCCTTGGGGGGCATCACCATGATCATCGCTATGGTTTACTGATGATCTTAGTATGTGCCGAACTCTGTGGTGGGCACTTTCTTGACTTTATCTTACTGACTCCTACCAACCAGCACTTCTCAAAGTGAGGTCCCTGCAGCCAAAAGCAAAAGAGTCTTCTAGGAACTCATTAGAAATGCAAATTATCCCCTCTTCCTTTCCCTTATTGAATCAGAAAACCCTCTGGCTGGGGCCCAGGGTCTGTGGTTTAACCATCCCTCAGGGGGCTTCTGATACACAGTCAAGTTTGAGAACCACACCCATAACTCTGGGTAGCCAGTGCTGTACTTACTCCCCTATCATAGGTGAAGAAGACTTAAGAATCCGAGAATTCAGTAACGTTTTCCCCATGTTACTCAGAAAATAAGAAGAGAGGACTCAAGCCCCAGTCTGCCCAACCCCAAGTTCTGGTTCTCCTTCCACCATACTGCACAATGGAAAGTGCCTCTTTTAAGCACTCGAGCAGTCTCTGCAGACTTAGATAAACCACCAGCTGGATGATCGTAAATCATCCTGATTTGTGTATTTAAGAAAGTCCTGTTACTTCCTCTTCTCATCAACACTTTGTTGGCCTTGCCAGTGTTATTACTGCAAATACTGAGACGTATAAGGTCATACTGATGTTTCCCTAACGTTAGTTAACTTTCACATAGGAAGTTTAGCAACATAACACAAACTATTCACTGCTACTTTAAGGTTTCTCAAATATTACTTAAAATTTAAATGCAGAACGTTTCTATAGAAGAGCATGACTTTCATCTTGTCCCTGGGTCCTGTCTGGGGTCCTCACCCACCCAGGCTGATGAAATGCTTCCTCTTTCCTGTAACACATCACTGTTACATACACAGGCCTCAGCTTCTGCGTAATGGAAACAAAGTTGCACAGCCTCACAACAACAAGCGAGGTGGGGAGGAAGGGAAGTGAGCTAGCATTTATTGAACACCTCTGGGTTGCCAGATACTTCACAAGTCATTTCCTATAATTCTTAGAATAACCCCACAAAGAAGCTACTATCCCATTACACAGCAGTGGAAACTGAGGCCCAGAGAGGTTGCATCACTTACACACAGGGAGTAAGACTGACAGAGTCAATATTCAAATCTAGGCCTTTATGATCCACAGCCCAGGCTCTGCCTGGCTCTATCAATGCTGCCAACCATCTGGAGATTCGGAAACAGTGTGAGGTCAGAATTGTTCACTTCGCCGCTAGATATTTGGAGTAGCAGAGACAAAGCTTCTATTATTCATGACCATGGGCCATTCCTTGTAAAACTGCCAAGGCCATAAACTTTAATCTCTTGTTTGAGGAAATAAAAATTATACCTCCTCAACAAGAAGTATATCCTGTCTCTTTGGCATGAGGCTTCATGAGGGGGTGGGGAGAAGGATGGTTGAACCATGAAACAGATTCATGGAGACTGGGAATAGGGATTGAGATCACATAGACAGCACAGTACATGGTCGAGGGTCGGGGGTGTCTTTGGAAGGCCTGGTTTTGAGACCTTATTGCTGTGTGACCTGGGACAACTCACTTAACCTCTCTGAGCCTCAGTTCCGGAACTTAGTAAGTGCTCCAGAAGTACTGGCTGTAATTGTTTAAGATACCGAGATTCCCAAGAAATGGGTTTTGTTTGTTTCTTCTGGCTACCCTCACCTACGTTGTTATACTCTCAATAAAGATGACTCAAAAGGTTGAAGATAGAAGGCGGGTGACATTATTTCAAATTGTGTTTCAAATATGTGTTCTTGGGAGGAAAGTTGTCTAATTAAAGTAATTTCCATTTGCCTACCCAATGGATACTTGAAAGGTGAAATGAAATGTTGTGAACAAGTGATTTATGAGCGTAAAAAATATGCCTGTGCGTGGGCATGGCATGGAGATTAATGATATTAATATAAATGAAGCTGATTTTGAAAAAAGATAATCATTCAGCCTGGAGAACATGGGAATATTCTGCTTGGCCTCTGGCTTCCTCCATTTCCCTTTAGATTTATGTGTCGCTATTATCTGAGTCTTTCAGGTGGGTCAGAGGATACTCAGAAATAACTCAGTGCTATATTTTTTGGTTCTCTACACACCTAACAAGTACATTTAAAAGACACATTCTAATTTTTTCATTCTCCTTAGTTGCAGGAATTCAAGAAGGAACACTAGCGCTGAAGGGGCCCCAGAGATCAACCAGCCCAGCCTCTTCACTGTGTAAACCAGACACTGAGTCCAAGAAGTCCAGGGTATTTTCGAAAGCCACACCGATAGTGATGGCACTGCCAGGATTGCAAGGTGGGTGTTCTGACTCCAAAGATCAGAGATCCTCAGTGAATTGCAAATTACCTTTATCTCCTCCTCCCTTGAATCTCAGGTATTAGCTGAGCCTGCAACAACCCCACGATATGGAGAGAACCAGCCTGGGATGCCACCAAAGAAGGGGGGCACTCTGAGCGGGATTTAGAACCCAGGTGGCATACTTTCAGGACACAGTGGAATTCATCTTGGAGGACTCAGGTGCATTATTTAACAACTGATCTCCTGTCTCTTCTACTTGGCAATCCTTAAAGATATTTAGGGATTTATTTGGCATTGTTTTAGAGCAATGCTGCCCAATACAGTAGCCACCAGCCACAGGCGGCTATTTACATTTCAAATAAATAAAATTAAAAAATCACTTTGATAGAACTAGCAACAGGTCAAGAGCTCACAAGTCACAAGTAGCGAGTGGTTACGTATCGGATAGCACAGATGCAGAAATAGGACATTTCATCATCGTAGAAATTTCGGGTAGACAGCAGTGCAAGGTGGGGCGAGCTAGGCTGTAGCTTAAGAGAAGGAAGACATTTCTAAATCATGGAGATTTACAGAGGGAACTTACCAAGCAGCGTGTGGGTGACCACCTGCTGGTGCTTACAGAAAAGACGATTTATTCTCATGAAAGTGAAGGCTGGTGAGCGTCTTTTCTGCACAATCAGCACAGAAACGTTTTAAATCATAAAGCCTTCTCTGGTGAAGTCCTCTTATTTTTCTCCCCTTCAGACAAATTGGATAGATTCTTTAAGGCGAAGGCTTATTCCCCTGGGCCCCATTCAATATCTATCAACCCTCCTGACACCTGCAACAATTGTTTACTCTCAAGGGCAGTGAATAAAATATGTTTCCACTAGAAAGCTGTCATTCAAGGACTCAGGTGACACGAAGAACACAAAGAAAGCTGTTGTGAATTATGGCAGGAGTGGAAAAAAGTACAGAAATAATAGAACCTCTAAACCAGCATCTTTAAGACGACGTGACTCACAGATCACTCCATCATGGGAGTCCTTGACCAATCAATCCCTGTACGTCAACTTTAGTGACTAACACTTTTCCCCTTTCGTCTTTTAACCATCATTTATATAACAATGCCTGGCCCAGAGAATGTTCTCACTAAATATTAGCTGACTAAAATTCAACAGGCCAGTGCTGCCCTAACCCTCGAGATTATTTTAGGGAATGCATGGGGCCCGTGGTACCCTTCCCAGGTTTGATACTCTCTTCCTCTTTGTTGGTCCTGAGGGTCCTAGGAGCCACTTGATATATGTTTGCTGAATAAATAAATCTCTGTTAGAAGCCCCCTTTTCAATCAAACTTTCCTTGATGAAAATAGGATTCTCTACCTCTCTTAAATGTAATGCCCAAAGCAGAAAGGTTCCAGCCTTTTAAGAAGATTAGAAATGGGTTGTCCGCTTTAGTACACGAGAAGGGGCCCACGCAGCCGTTCACCACCCTTTGGCTGCATGGCAAATCTGTTTTCAATTATCAAATCAGGACACAGTAATTTATGGCGTCCAAGCAGCTACTTTCTCGGTGAGATCCTTGCTGTGCTGGGTCCTGTGTGTCCCTGTTTGTGTGTTGCTAGGGTGACTGCCGGTCTTGGGAGGAGGGAGGGGGTAGAAAGAAGGCCCCTTCTCTGCTGTTGAGAATGCAGGGAGTGACATGGGGGCCACCCAACCACAATGCCTGGGCTCCAGCTGCTCCTGGGGACAGCTGAGATGCTTCGCTGCAGTCTCCCCTACGTCGACAGCATCTGGGCCAGCGTTTCTATGGTGACATGCACAAAGCTTATGGATTGTGTATGTGAGCAAAAGTGGGGCCGGGAACAAAAGGGCTGGCTCCAAACAATGGGAAATTCATATTTAATTGAACAAAAGTAATCCAAGGGAAAACAAGGAAGCGGAGGGGAAGTATAAAGACTCTTTGTGAGGACACCCCCAGGTCACATGACTTCAAGTCATCTACAGGAGGCTCGCTCTCTCTCTGTTTAGTCACAGGAGCCTTTAGGAAGTCTTTTAGATTTTTGCTTCTCGTTTTTTGTTCCTGAAGTAATCAGCTATCATGAACTGCTTTGTTTTATTATGCCTTCAAACCTATGGACAGCTGTTTGATTTTAACATTTTATTAACTCGTGCCCGTGTAAAACAGCATTATCTGATTTTCTCAGATCATGAGAGAGGCTTCATGGGCTACGCCTGGGGTTGTAACGAGCCGTGTGATGCTTTCCAAACGGCAACAGGAAAGACTCTATAATTCTCTTTATGTTTTCTCCCAAACCAAAGGCCATTCTCTGGCCGGCAAGATAATCTTGGGTCAGGAAAGGTGGCCTACCTCGGAAATAATATTCCTTCACCTTACAAGATTGCTAAAAAGAAGCACTCTCCAGGGCATTCCAAAGGTTTCTTGTCCCTATGCATATGCTCAGAGGAAAAGAATGTATCTTTATAGCATTAGGAACAGGGAATTTAGACGACTTTTGGAGTACCTCCATTAAAGTTTATCTTCTCTGTTACTAGAATTATTGTTTTTCTTCATTTCACTTTAGGAAGTGTTATTTCTAAAATTTGGTTATGGCTAAACCAGCTATATACCATGTATATATAATATATGTGTAATATCATATATATATACACATTATATAATATCACATATATATGCCTGCCATGTATATATCATATATTATATGTACCTGTCATGTATATATTATATTATACACACATATATATGATAACTTCCAAGACAATAGGCCTTGGTAGATGCAGGGAGAGAAAGTAACTTTTAAAGATATGAAAACAGCCCACATGCTGCTTCTAGAAGTTGACTGTCCTCATTCCGACTTTCCTCTTAAAAATTAGAAAAAAGCTCTTCCTGGTTTCATAAACCTCACTGTTAGGAAGCTCTTCTCGTCTGTAACCTGAACCCTTTCCACTGCAGCTTACAGGAAATAGAAAATAAGTCGTACAAAACAATAAACAAAAACACAAAACCAACGCCTGCTTTGGAGAAGGTTCTTACAGGTCCCCCGGGCCTCAGACAGGCTACAGGGGATGACCAATCCCTAAATCTTTACGCATTTTGTGTGTTGTGAGCGCTCTCAATATTTGTTTACTGAATCATCGACCGAGTATATACTTTTGTGTGCCTTCCTGGTGAGATATTTCGTGACTTTTATCAGATAACATCTCCAGGAAGTTTACCTCTGAAAAAATCAAAAGCCACAAAAGAGTCAATCTCTATTTAAAAGTGGTGGTCAGAAAAGTGAGAGATGTCTCCACTCTCTAAATAAAGGGACAGATAAGAGTTTCTTAAACTGTACCCTGCACACAGATTCCTGGAATCTTGTCAGAATGCAAGGAGACACAGGAGGTCTGGGGTTGGGTCTGAGATTCTGTTTCTCACAAGATTCTAGGGTGCCCAGGCTGCTGGTTCCAGGGGCTACACTCTGAGCAGCAATAGAAAGCCTATGTTTACGTGGTGTTCTTTCACAGGTGGAATCCCAAGGGACGTCCCCTTACCTTCTTCGACTGTTGACAGCGATGCAAACTGCCAGAATCAAAGCCAGGGCCAAGAGGGAAGCCAAGATGATCAGCCATTCTGTTGTGAGTAAACCAGAGGACACGTATGAGCTTCAGAAATAAGCTTTGTTAAAATAAAAATGCACTTTATAAATTGACCTGGTCCAAACAAGAAACACAAACAACACTGCCGAGGGGTCCCACCAATAGGTCCAGCCAACAGGCAGATAATTCTGGAAGAGCAATTTTGCTATACATGTTTGTCTAGCAGGCTTCTTGCTTTAATCTTTTGTCACCAGTCAGGATTTTCAAGTTCCCCCAAGAGAAACATGTTTCCAAAGATGTGTAGAATGACTCGTTGAGACTTGTAGATGCCGTTGGTGCAATATTATTAAGTAGATTAAAGGAAAGTATGCCTCTTTTGAAAGAAACATTCTTTTCCTATATAAGAGCAGCCAGCTTACATTTGATTATCCAAAGATGGAAGCCACCTTCTAGTGTGTGGAGCAGAGGGAGGGGGAAGGAAAGTCAGCTGGCTCTTGGGAGGGTCATTTGGCAACACTTGTTAATAGCCTTCCAAATACTCATGCTTGTGATCTAGCTGTTACACCTCCATGAATTTATAAGACTTCAGAATTGGCTATAAAGATGTTTATTACTTTGCTACTTATAATAGTAAAAGTTGGAAAATTACCTAATATCCCAAAGTAAGGAATTGGTTAAATAGATTAGGGCACATGTATTATGTCCTACCATACATTAAAAAAAAAAAATTATGTATTTAATGATATGCACCAGTATGGACAACCAGTAGGGTATGTTTACTAAAGAGCTTGTAGGAATCATATTTTGCTGTTTAAATTACATCGAAGAATGACCAGAAAGACATATAATAAAACATCGTAACCCTGGCATTTCTAGATGGTGAGATAGATAACCAGTGATTTATATTGTCACCCTTTTGCTTTAGTGGCATTTTCTAAAATATCTTCAATAATCGTGTATCACTTGTGGAACTAATAAAATATTATGCACATGTTTTCAAATCAGGGTTCTCTAACAAGATGCACATACGACCTGACAACTCAAATAAATTCATCTGCAAAGTGGGTTATACATCTGTGCAATGAATTGGGGGGCTTGAGAAAGTAGAAAGAGGACAAGTTGTTCATGGCGCCCTTCTCTTTGGAAGTTCTGGTTTTCCTCTGATTTACTGCTTGGCATTACCTTAGCTTCACCTGTATCTGGTTTAGAGTTGGGGGAGGGGAGGCTGGCAACAGGGTACCATGGCTTTCCCCACCCCCACCTCTGTGCACCCTGACTGGTATCAGGCCCTGGCGTGTCCCACGTGTGGACTCTCACCAGAACATGGAGGAAGGCTGCCACCTGAGAACACCCCAGCCTTCTTGCTTCCCCCACCCCTCCTCCCACGTGCTCGGCCTTCAGCTGTGTTCATACAAGCTGTGGCAAAGTAGCAAGACCACAGCACATCCTTCCCTTTCCCCGGGGGAGGCTCACTCTGGAGACCCCTGGAGAAGGGAGAATTGGAAGGGTAATTTACAACCTTAGGAGAACACTTTTTTTCAGGTGTGTGTGGGGGTAATTTCCCTTTTACAAATGCTCGAATTAGACCTCTAGGCAAGTAAAGAATTTTCATCAAATGCCTTAAGTCTTGATGCTCGGGAGAGCTGAGGGTCTCAGAGCTGAGGGTCTCAGCTCTCTCACTGCATGAGTAACACTTTCCTGGAAGAGTTTCTTCTGTCTACAGGTCCCCGATAAAAAAACATGGCTTGGGGATCAGAAGGATGTTCTCACTCTCCCCAACACAAATGGGCCCTGAAGCTCCACCCTGTCTGTACCTTAAGAAGAAAATTACATGCTTCACCCTGACTCCAGAGATAAGGGGGAAGCAGAGTTTGGGATAGGTAGAACCTGGGTATGACATGGAGGCCCTCAGGGGGTTAACTCACGTGGGAAGGAAGCTTTGATACCTACCACTTCTTTGGGACAAGTCTGAATATATGAGCTTGAGCAGTCTAAGGGACCCTGGAAGAAAAGACTATTCCATCCTTTCCCACCAAGGGGCTGTAGTACTCTCATTCATCCTTTCACTTGCAAAAACAAGCGATCAGGTTCAAAAGCTGGGCATTTCAGAGAATGTGCTTTTGGATGGGTCTCTTCTTTTTTCCCTGGACATTCCAAGAAACCTGCTTTAAGCATCTTTTTCTCCTATCCAGTTGAAAACTCACCTGGAATTTGGGGTTTCCTCATAGGACCTGAAGTTGTGTTTGCTCCGCCTTCTTGACTCCCAGTGAAGTGTCCTAAAGGGAGAAACAACAGTATCTCTCAGCTGAAGTCTGGAAGGCTGAAGCGTGAGTTCCTTACACAGCCGACACAGGCCTGCCTGCCACATTCTGAATCACTCAGAAGCTCTTCATAGATTAAAGATACAGATGTTTATGAAGTGTTACATGAATGACATCCCCCTCCCCCCAAAAAACTGTCCAATCTGATGAAGGCTAAAGTTTGTAATGTTATTCTGTATCAAGGAACAGGAGATGGCTCAGCGCCTGTGGCTCAAGTGGCTAAGGCACCAGCCACATACACCTAAGGTGGCAGGTTCGAATCCAGCCTGGGCCCACCAAACTACAATGATGGCTGCAACCAAAAAATAGCCGGGTGTTGTGGTGGGCACTTGTGGTCCCAGCTACTTGGGAGGCGGAGGCAGGAGACTTGCTTGAGCCCAGGAGTTGAAGATTGCTGTGAGCTGTGATGCCACGGCACTCTGCTCAGGGGGACAGCTTGAGGCTCTGTCTCAAAAAAAAAAAAAAAAAGGAACAGGAGAATTCTCAGCAGGAGTGCTATACTGGGCAGTGCTGAAGACTTTGGGCTCTAGAGCTGGACAGCCCTGGATTCAAGTCCTGTATCTGTCTCTTGCTAGCCAGCCATGTTTCCTGGGTCAACTTACCCTCTCCAAGTCTTGGTCATTCTCATTCATAAGATAGGGAAAGTCATAGAGTCCACAGAGGGTTTTTTTTTTTTTCTTTACAGAGGTTTAAAGAAGTTCACGATAATGGTAGTCTCATGTCATCTTCTATTTTCAACATAAGACCTTGCTACTCAAAGTGTGGTCCCTGGACCAGCCATAAGGTAGAGATATCTCTTGGGAGATTGCTAGGAATACAGAATCTCAGGCCTCCTCCCACATCGACCAAATCAGAATCTTCACTTTAACAAGTCCCCTAGGGAATGCTTGTGATCCACAAAACCCCAAGTAAATCTGAAAATGCCATCTAATACCATCACAGAAGCCAAGGCACACACATAAAAAAATAGGGTGGGTGTTGGGGGAGGGGCAGCAGCTCTTTCTATCTATGAAAAACCAACCTATTAAAGTCCTTGATAAAATATTATTGTAACACACCTTGACGGAAGAATTGATATTTTCTACTGCTAAAAACAAAATAAGGAAATGAACAAAAGACCTCAAACTGGAAAGAGGTATCCAAAGACAGAGACCCCACAAGTCAGAACAAGAGACTCCTTAAAATGAGGGTGGCAACACGCTTTCCAAGAAAAATTCTATGACATCTTGTGAAAAGACTCAAGTTAAAGCATCAAGAATTAAAAAAAAATTTTTCCACTGCTTTAAAACAAAATTTGAAAGTCTCCCACTCAAATGAACATTTTTCCCTCACCTAATTTGAACCTACTGTAGAATCCTGAAGGCCACCAAAGGGAAACCAGTCTCAGAGACGTTTGTTTGGCAAATTAGTGACTGAAGATGGTGAAAGCTTTCCTTAGAGAGTCAACCTTTAGACTGACTGAAATCTTGGTTGCAGTGGTTATTTGGGGGTAGGATGACTCTTGCTTATACAATCTGATGTTTTGTTACAACTCAAAGGGAACAAAGCAAGTTCTTACCAGACGTCTGGCCCATCCTGGTTTGACAGCAACCTTTAATTTTCCAAGACTCCAAAGGAGAGCAAGGCACTTTCCCTACCCATCTTCCACTATTCTTGTGGTTGGCAGGTTTTCATCTACACAAGACATGGGACATTGGCCAACCAAACTAGAGGTCTTTGGCCACCTGAAAGCTACCTAAGCAGGATAGTCACTCGGCTGGTCTCTTTTCTGACTCACAGCAGCCTTGGACATTTGAAAGAGAAGCCATTAATGGATCAGAACCTCTTTATTTTGATCTTCCAAGAATAGTGCTCCCAGTAAGGAAAGATCTGGGTATGTGAACAACAAGATGGAACCTCCTGTTTGAACAATAGATACCTGCACAGGCACCAGCTCCCACCCACCTAATTCTCACTTCAAGCAAAAGCCCAAGAAGATGGATGAGAGATAGCAGGCCTTGCTTGGAGCCCCAGACATCCACAAATCCGGCCAGGGTAGGCCTGGCCAAAACACGTTTCCCAAAGAGAGGAGGCATTTAGTATTCAAGTTGAGAAATGAAGTCCCATCTAAGACGTGTGCACAGGGTCATTCAATGGCTTCAACTGTGAGAAAAGCAGGCCAGGACAGAGCTTCTCAAGTTTTAATGTGCATAAAAACACAGGGGATCCTGGATGAGGGTTAGTCTGGTTGAAATGCAGACCCTGATTCAGTAGGATTGGTTTGGTCAGAGATTATGCTTTTGCAACAAGCTCCTAGGTTATGTCTATACTGATGGTTCAAGAACCACCTTGGCATAGCTGGGGTCTCTTAGTTTTACAGAGCATGATTTTTAGCAGTAACTGTTTACCATTTCCAAGATACTTTTATATTCCTGATATCCTGTGTTCCCTATAAGAACTCTCAGAGGCAACCGAGGCAGGTGATCTGATTTCCTTCTTACTAGTAAGAAAACTGGGGCTGAGAAAGAGCAAGTGCCCTGCCCAGCGTCCCCTGGGAACCTGAGACTCCTGTCTTTATATCAGAGGCATCTCAAATGAATGCCTATCTCCTAGAGCTCCTATGTAAAAGGTTATTCTCAAAGTCATCACATAAATATCCATCATCACACTTGCTTTAAATGTGATGTAAGACTGAAGAAAACCCTGACTCCAACTCTGGCCTTAAAATAGGAGGATATAATACAATTAATAATGTATGTGGATTCATTGGTTTGCATGTGGTCATCTGAGTTTGTAATGCCCATGGAGACCTTTCAATAGTCCCAGCGTTAGAGGTCATTAGCAAATCTGTCTCATGTCAGACTTTTGCTGCCTGGAGTAATGTTTACAGGGGTATGCTCTGAGTCACAGTAAGCAGGAGTGCATTTAACAAGGCATACTTGGCAGTGATTATGGTCATTACAGAATTCTTTATCCAGACTGTGATTATAAGAAGCAATATGAGACCCCCAGGCCTAAAACCTGGCTCCAGTGCTCAATGGTCACATCAACTCTGCCAAGCTACTTACCCTCTGTGAGCCTCAGTGTCCTAATCTGTAACATGGGGATAATGGTAGTACTTACATAAGTCACGGTGTTTGTAGGATAACTGAATGAGTTAATATGAGATGAATTCTATGAGTTTGCTGATACTGACTGTTCTTGACCTATAATAGCAATGGCAGTTTCTATGGTCCAACCTAATACAGGTGAAGTGTTTAGAATAATGCCTCCAGTGCACGGTAAACTCTCAATATATGCTAGCTCTCAGATTGTGTGTGGGATTATGCTAAATGCTTTACCCATATCCTATCATTTATTTTTTTTTTATCATTTAGATTTTAAAACACTAAAAGTGTTTTAGCCCTCTAACACTTATTATTATTCCAAGTTTATTAGTGAGGAAATTTTGTCTCAGACCCTTTAAGCATCACGTTCAGTTAATATGTGGAGCGGGATCAAACTCAAAACAATTCTTATTCCAAAATCCATGCTGGTGTAATAGGAACATTCAATTGCTGAAGTCCTTCTGAGCCTTTCAGATGCAAGACTCTTCTCCAGCACAGTAGTTTACAAAGAGTAGTCCCTGCCCAGTAATATCAGCCCTCCCAGGGGGACATATTAGACATGCAAACACTTGGGCTATACCCCAGACCTGCTGAATCAGAAACCTTAAGGGCAGATCCCATCCCTGTAATTGTAGCATATGCTAAGAAAGTTTGAATACCACTTCTCTAGAGACACTGACTCAAACTTCATTAATAATCACCAGGTTCGATGATTATGACTATGAATGACTTAGGTGGTTCCAAACTCACCATCTGATTCAGATCCATGAGTGGTATGGCCGCCCGGGCTGGAGTCCCTGGATGAGTCGTGGTCTCCTGCAATGAGTAATCAAGAAAGGTCACAACTGTGCGTTTCCATGTATATAGCCATTTGCATTTCTTTACGTTCCATACAGACCATTGAAAGTGCATAGTCTCTTAAAGGTAAATAAAAAATGATGGCAAAAGTGCCTCAAATTACTGCCAGGCCAGGCATGGTGGCTCATGCCTGTAATCCTTGCACTTTGGGAGGCCAAGGTAGGAGGATCCCTTAAGGCCAGGAATTCAAAACCAACCTGCACAGCAAAGTGACACCCTGGTTCCACAAAAAATAAAGAAAAAATGAGCCAGGTGTGGTAGCACATGCCTTAGTCTCAGCTACTCAGGAGGCTGAGGCAGGAGGATTGCTAGGGTCCAAGAGTTCTAGGTTACAGTGACTTTGATGGTGCCACTGCACTCCAGCTTGGGCAACAGAGTAAGACCCTATTCAAAACAGAAGGAACAGAAAGAAAAAATTACTGCTTATTGCACTAAGGAATAGGCTAGAGCTTAAATCAAAATTAAGGAAACTAGGCTCAGTGCCTGTAGCTCAGCAGCTAGGGCGCCAGTCACATATACTGGAGCTGGCAGGTTTGAACTCAGCCCTGGCCTGCCAAACAACAATGACAACTACAACAACAACAAAAAAAATAAGTCAGGTGTTGTGGTGGGCGCCTGTAGTCCCAGCTACTAGGGAGGCTGAGGCAAGAGAATCGCTTAAGCCCAGGAGTTGGAGGTTGCTGTGACATCACAGCACTCTACCCAGGGTGACATAGTGAGACTCTGTCTCAAAAAAAAAAAAAAAATTAAGGAAACCAGGGCAGGCAGTATGAAGGATGACCATAAGAAGTTTTGCAGACGTGGAGTCTATGGCTTAAGGAGTAGGGAGCTGGCCCATATGCTGGAGGTCGTGGGTTCAAACCCAGCTCTGGCCAAAAAGTGCAAAAAAAAAAAAAAAGTTTTGCAGAAACTTGGTTTTGGTATAAATCCAAGACATGTAGCAAGGAACACTCTAACAAAAATATTATGATGTCTTTGCAGGCCTGAAGTTGAGACTAGACATTGTGGATTTTAAGTAAGGACTATATGAATTGGATTCTGAGAAATACAGTTCAGGGAAATGGGTGAACTCTGTCCTAGGACATGACACATTAAAGAGATTTCTCTGAGGCAGGAAATTGGTTGGCAGTAAAGAATTTTGGGATCGGATAATGTAAAGATTCAAAGAGAAAACTCAATGGCTCATTGAGAGAAAGAAGAGTTTAAAAATAAGTAAAAAAAATGGTGAGATGATAGCTAATATGTAAACAATATGTATCTGGGTATTAGATAAGTTAAAAATAATATTTTTCAAAAGTTAAGTCTCTATTTTCAACATGACTAGTTAATAAAATCGCATCTTCTCAAACATTCCATGGGGCTTTAGATTGAGGTAAACTCATGAACTGCTGAAAGTCGAAATCTATAGGTCAAATCTTCAGTCCAGTATATGGAAACTCCATCCCCTACTCTTAGTTTTCAAAAGTATATTGGAATGTTAAAAAAAAAATCACAGGATAATTGTTCCCTAACATGGCTATAGTTGTCCATCATGAAGGAGCCTGTGAGAAACACAGATACGGTAACCTGCTTGTCACCATTTCCTAGATGAGAGAAGGTGGAGGCGGGTGACCTGTGATCACTCATGTGATGGTATTAAAGAGACAGATTACTGTGCCCTTTGGAGGACACGTAGAGTAACTGAAAACAGCATTTGCTGAAGTGTCATCCCGATGCTCCCACTACCCAAATCACCATCACCAACCCCACCACCACCACCACTGTCACCACCACCACTGCCACCACAATTCCACATGCTTTAGCTTTAACACTAAGCATCACAATTACTGAGGGGAAAAAAAAAACATATGAGCAGAAATGAGACTTAAAGGAGTGTTTTGGAAGAAAACCAAGGATGAGAACTGGATCACTTAATCCTTTAATCCCTGGAGAATCACGAAAAATCTGTCCAGACCACTGTGGAACAGAGAAGGAATGAGCACAGGTGACGATCATGTCAATCTTGTAAAAAGCATTTGATTTGCTAACAACATGATGGTGTAAACCCTCTAGGATACCGTGACCGTTAGAGTTGCCATTTAAAATTTAAATTCATTAGGCTGCACACCAAGCCTTATTTTGCCAAGAGAAACAAGGCAGTGCTCTAAGATTTATTTCTTCAGATGAATATTAACAGTGGTACTTGGAATTTGTAACGAGGGAGAGCAGGACCTTGCAGAATAAAGAGCTGGCAAGCGTAAGGGGCTTTGTTGTGCCAATATCGCTGAGGTCAGCATTTTCTTACATTGTTTTCTTTGAAGCCATGGGGTGAGCAGCCCAGAGGACAGAGGCCAAGCCTGTGGCATCGTGGACTTTCTGTCCCCATCACAACTGTCATCTGTTTTATATCCTGGATGCTCATAAGTTATCCTTTGCTTCTTTTTTTCATTTTTTTAGGGGAGAAAAATCTCTGGTCCAAAAAATAAATATTTAAAGTTATTAAGCACTTGGAAAACTGGCCCTAGGAGGAGAGAATCACTTTTTACTTGCTTTACTAGAGTGGGCATTTTCCAGTTTCCCTTTCTTTGGTATCAATTTCCTAATGCAAATGGGGGAACAAAAAAAGGCAGAAGTAGACAGGATCGGTTATTTGAGAGGAAGTATCTCTTTTGGGATCCATGTCAAATTTAACTGAGTAAGTTATCTTCGGTCATCTCTGCCTTTACAATAAGAGAAGTGTCCCTACTCATTACCAGTGGATTACATCACAACGTTTTAAGTGTGCATCGGAACTAGAAGAGGTTTATCCACCAACCCATCACCAAAAGTAAAATCGATCAACCCATCACCAAAATTAATTTCAGAGCCAAAGATACTAGCTGTATATGAAAATTATTCATAAGCTGGGTAAAACCTTATTCAATAGGCAGCATGTATTAGTTGAATCAAATGAGATTGCTAATGTTCGATTATTCTGACCTACAAAATGATCAATTTCATATGGTTCAACTGGATAGATCACAAGATCAGGAAGAAGACAAAGCAATTCCACCGTAACACCCAATCAAGTCGCGCACACACGCTAAATGGCAAAGTCATTGGCAAATGGAAGCATTATTTTATCTAAAATAAGTCCAAGTTTCCTTGCACTGGAATTGATGACCAGTGATGAAATCCATATCACAAACTAATCGCAGCCTGTGCAGAATGCCCCCTCTCATATGAAAGTGTATGTTGTTTCTCTCTCTTGGAGAAAGCACACCAGATAACAAAGGGCCAAATTACCTGAGAAGGCGAGATCAATGTTAGAGTTGGAATCTCCAACAACAGTGACTTCAGTACCTCCAAAGGACCCCGTCTTAGCAGGGGTGACGGGGATGAGAGTCCTGTTTTCCTTCATGTCTGGATAATGAGTCATATAACCTTCCAGTAAAGTAGTTGAGCCTTCAGAACGACTTTGACCTCTTCTTCCACCTCTGTCATCATTCCTATCTGTTTGGAGGTGGAACCAATGATAAACCCACATTTGTAGGATTTGCCACCCACCACGTGCTCATCTTTAGGATGTGCAATTCTGCGAAAGCTTTCCACTTGTTACCCATAAGTCAGGAGCAAATGATGGTGAAGTTTGTCACACTGTTGAACAGAATCAATATTTTGCAACAGACACAATCTGGACATCACTCAACAGAAGAGATTTTGGTGATCCTAATACCCAGAAGAGGCATGTGATGTAACATCTGTCTGGGTTATTAAGGTAAGGCTTATGCCACTATAACTGTGAACTTGGAGTCAAATCAGGTACTAGAAAATCTTGAGCTCTTTCTCAATGGGATCCACCTTTGATGAAGTGGAGAAAACACGTCACTGGATTCAAAGGTAAAATTATGCTGCCCTCAACCAGAATAGCAAATGCAAAGTTTCAAAGACCTGAGGCTACTAATTTAATTATCATTTCTTTTGCCAGAGGGAACTCCTTTTTAGTCACCAGTACCATGGAGCTAAGTTCCAGAGAACAAATGGCAAAATAATATTAATGTAAGGAATATGGACAGTGACATAATCAGATTTTTACATCAATTGTGAATTACATATAAGCAATCCATTATTTTAAAACTACATCACTAACTCTACAATGTAAGAAACCCAACCTTTAAGATTAAGAATTATAATTTTCACTTAGTACATGATGTGCAATGTCTTCTAAGAGGTCTACAAGAAAGGGATCTAAAGAAAAATCAGAGAACCATCACCAGACGCACCTTATAATCAAGAGTAACAGCATAACAGCAGCCAGCTGTCACACCTCCACCAGAGACACTGCAAAAGCACCCATAACTTATTGATTGCTATCGATAGCTGAAGCCAACTGGGCTTTATGCTCCTTACTGCTTGATGTCAGAGTTGAAGTTGTTGGATGTTCTTTATCTTCTTCCAAACCTCCATGTGATGTAGAGAAGCTCTGAGAATGACTCTGCTCTGTTTCAATGAGGGATGAATCCACCATTAATTTGAAGCCATTATATTACTCCTTTTATCTGCTAACAGGGAGGATATAGCGATAGTAGAGTCAGATGGCTAAGTACACAGGAAGACCAAGGTCTGTGCACAGCACTCTCCTCTGACTGACAGAAATATACAGAAGAATTCTGTTTAGCCCCTAGTTGGCCTTTAACACCGTCATTTCTCAGTATAGTCAACCAAGGTAAAGTGACAAAGTGGAGACTGAGCTAAAATTTTGTCTACTCCTGGATTGTCCTGGCCCAGTTGGATCAGTGACTGTTGCCAGTCACTCAGGAAAACCAGACTATGGAGAAAGGAATGTTCAAATTTCAGTGTTCGCTTCAATAATCAAGAGCACCTAACCATGGCTCATGAAGTGTAAGTGTAGGGAAAATAAGCACTGTGATAGCCTTCAGCACACCTCTGGCCCCAAAGGAGAAAGAAGCCCATCTAGAATGACCTGCTCGAGTAACTCAGATCAAGTTGATACAAGGAAATACTTAACTCTGTTAGAGTGATCATTAAATCAAAGATATCATTTTACTCTATTATTGGGGTTTTGATCTCATCTGTGGCTGGGGATGCTCATCACTGCTCCAATGAAACGCTTCCTTGGGCAAACACAGGGCCCTCAGTGACATACACCAATCTGAGGTTGAACAAATGCCCATATCTGAAATCACTTTGACTGTTGAGTTCATTTCTTTTGTGTTCTTCAAAGGAAAGTACTGACCTCTGAATTGCAGGTATAAGAACTTCATAAGCCATGTGCACCACCACATAGATATTATAGCCAGGAGAGAGACATGCACTGAATCCCAAACCCGACCTTAGAACAAAAGGCAGCAGTGACATAAAGTGGAAGTAGAGGCCTATATGCAAATCCTTTGATGCTTAACACTGTGCTATTTGTATTGCTGATGGTCAGCATATACTTGATTTTTTTCCTTTGCCTAAAGATCTCCTATGAAAGACTTTGCCCATTATATGTAGCAAGAAGGCCCTCTTAATTCTCAATTTATTTCATATTCTGCCAAGAATATGAGATTATGAATGACTTTTGGTTAATCTCTTGGCTACCTCTGCACATGTAGAAGAAATAAAGTGTTCTAGAAGTTTAACATGGCTTCCTACCACTTTTCCAGTGATAGAAAGAGATAGTAGCAAATGCTTCTTTTTTTCTTTCAAGGACCTTGCCACCTTGGTCAATTCTCAACAATAAGCCTGGCAACTTCTCTGTGGGTGGGCCTGGTTCCCCTACTCTCCAAGATTGTCTAGCCCCCCGAATATCTTTTTACAACCATGCTACCAATCCTACTTCTCTTCTGTCCTGATTGGAGGAAAGATGGGAATTGAAATGAGATGGTCCGTTAAAACATAGAGGAACCGCCCTCCTGGCTGTGGTCAGGTTTCACTGACATAACTATTTAGAGAAGGAAAATTGAGTTGAATGAAGTCTCACATCCTTTTTTTTCTTTTCTTAAAATATAAAATCACTGAATCTGGAAGGCTCCAAGAATGAAGGCAAAATCAGGTTTAAAGAACCCCACAAGAAATGCAGACAATGAAGGTATTTTACACCCTGGGCTGAGCTGAGCCACATAGCACTACAGGCACCATTCCACCACCAAGCTCTGTCTATATCTTGGCCAATGGGAGCAAGAGCTGAAGCAGCAATGAGGAATATAGGTCATTATCCTTACGCGTTGTCATTGAAAGAGGTCCTGTCCTGTCCAAGTCTTCCACCAAACCTGTGTTTGGATCTGCAGTGGACTGAAGGGTTGTACTATGACTGGAGTCCATATCTGAAGGAATTAAATCAATGTTATTGCTTGATTTAAACCTAAACAACTACCTTGGGGTGGTTTATGGTCTACAGCCAAATTATTTTTGTATTCAACCTGGATAAGAGGAAAGAAAGCACATACTGATTTATATTCCCAGAATTGGGATACATGATTGTTTCTTCAAAAGATATCACAAGAATAGCTCAGGGCCCATAGCACAGTGGTTATGGTGCCAGCCACATACACCAAAGCTGGCAGATTCAAACCCTGCCCGGGCCAGCTAGACAACAATGACAACTGCACCAAAAAATAGCCAGGCATTGTGGCGGGCACGTGTAGTCCCAGCTGCTTGGGAGGCAAGAGAATTGGTTGGGCTCAATAGTGTGATGCCACGGCACTCTACCCAGGGCAACATCTTGAGACTCTGTCTCAAAAAAAAAAAAAAGATATCACAAGAAGTAACTGGCTTTCCTTTAAGGGCTGAGTTTTCTGGAAGCTGTGATTTTTGTTTATTGTGGAAGGATTCTACATGAGCACACGATGGGACACCCAAGCCTTGCAGAGAAACAGAAATATCCCCTTTCTTATGAACACCTACAGTCTGACACGTGGAGAAAAGACAAAGATCTCTGGCTCAGACACAATTTTGTCATCTCCCCCCTTACAGGCCATAAGGGCTTTCTTTCAAAAGCTCTTTTCACATTTAGTCCTTTTTTGCTTCACAAAAGTCATCATCCAATACCACATAGTGGAGGCCACGGAAGTACACAGGGCAAGGAATAAGAAGCAGCATATGGCACCGAACTATTCTGCCCCAAAACATGAGTATGAGAAGGTCTTTGTAATTTAACATGTACAATGATGACTCATATTGAAATTTTGCTGGGATATTTGTAGATGTTTCCTGTCTTTTTCTTTTTCTTTTATTTTAGAAGAGTCTCACTCTGTTGCCCAGGCTAGAGTGCTATGACCTCAGCTTAGCTCACAGCAACCTCAAACTCCTAGGCTCAAGCAATCCTCCTGCCTCAGCCTCCCAAGTACCTGGGACTATGGGTGCCTACAACCACAGTCTGCTAAGTTTTCTATTTTTAGTAGAGATAGGGTCTCACTTTGCTTAGCAGGGTGAGCAGGGTCACTTGATCTCAAGTGATTCTCCTGTCTCAACTGATCTTCCCACCTGCCAGGATTACAGGGGTGATCTGCTGCACCTGACTATTTTATTTTATTTTATTTTATGACAGAGTCTTATTATGTTGCCCTGGGTAGAGTGGTACTGTCACAGCTCTCAACAACCTTTAACTCTTAGGCTTAAGCAATTCTCTTGCCTCAGCTTTCCAAGTAGCTTGGACTACAGGTGCCCACCACAATGCCCAGCTATTTTTTTGTTGGAGTTGTCATTGTTGTTTAGCAGGCCCAGGCTGAGTTCGAACCCACCTACCTCAGTGTATGTGGCTGGTACCCTAACCACTGAGCTATAGATGCTGAACCCACTGACCAATGTTTTTAATAGTTATCACAGATCTATTCTGCTAAAACAACAAGTCCTATGATGATATAGGGGGCCAAACAATCCATACCCATCATAGATATTGCTGGTTCTCCAATTCAGTCAAAGCCCATGGCACATACTGCCTCTGGGGAGATTTTATCCATTCCTAATGACTCCAGAAGAAAGTGCTAGAATGTTGGGCACCCACATCTTTGCTGTAGCCTTAACGTGCTAAAAGTCTGAGCAACATAGTGAGACCCTGTTTCTATAAGAAATAGAAAAATCAGTCATGCGTGGTGGTGTGCACCTATAATGCCAGCTACTCAGGAGGCTGAGGCAAGAGGAACACTTGAGCCCAGGAATCTGAAGCTGCAATGAGCTATGATGATGCCACAGCACTCTAGCCTGGACAATAGAGTGAGACTCTGTGAAAAAAAAAAACAAAAAAACTTTGTAGGACAAAAATGTGACTGACTCTTCTATCCCAGATTTCAAAAAAGAGGAAAATCCAGCTAGCCCAGATCAAAACTCCAAATGGATATTCTCCCAGGAAAAAGTCTTATCTGACGATGGATTCTAGAAACTCCTTCCTCCCTTCTATAAGTAGAATCCTCCCACAGGTATCGATCACACCATTCTACAGCAAGACCAATTGTACTGTCCTTGACATGTTCGTCAATTTAATGGACTTTCTTTCTCTTCATCAGTCTGGAGACTTAGTATTGATTCTCATGTTTTTTTACTGGCTTGGTTTTTCCCCACGGATGTCCTCAGAGTCCCGAGGCACCTTGTGCATACATGTAAGCTGCGTCTGTGTGTGGCACAGAAGCCACTGAACATAGTGGCCCTGACCTAGCCACCCAAACACATCTTCCTTTATGACAAACAGATCCACTCAGTTTGACATATTCATTCCTTGGTTTTTCTTCATTCATGCTTCCCCTTACATGAGTTTCCTGCATAGAAAAGCTTCCCTCCACTTCCTTTCCCTGACTATCCAGATTTTTTTCTCCCATTTTTCAAAAACCAGATCCAATCCACCTTTCCCTGATGCTTTTGGGAGGCGGGGTGTGTGGGAGGTTTCTCTGAATTTCTTTAGCATTTATTGTTGGCAACCTTCGTTTCACATCTATTACTTACTGCTTCACATTGTTAGACATATTTCAGTGTTAAATGTTTTCTTTTGCCAAACCTCCTGCTAAATTCTTCACTTTCAGCTCAGGGCTTCGTATTCAGAAGAATAAGCCTATCACTCCTACCTGGAAAACTAATGTTGGAGGAAACTGCAAGTCCTTTAGGAAAGTAGATTGGTCTAAAGCCAAGGGCATGTTTCTACATATTTCTAGAGCAACAATCACTTGGCAGGTTTCAAAAACACAAGATATAAAAAGTTCAGAGGCTATTACCCATCCTTCTTTCTGTTTGATGACCTGGTCCTATTGGATGTGAGATGGGGTCGAAGTAATCAGTCCAGGAACTGTCCTCTTGACTCAGTGTTGTCATTCTCTGACTTGGGTGGTTGGCGTAGGCTGAGGCTGTTGTGACTATGCAGTTCAAGCAATTGTCAAAGTGTTAATGGGCACTTGGCTGGGGATATACTGATTTTTTTTTTTAAGATCTTATTCTCTAGACAAGACAATGAAACCATCTTCCTAGCGTAGAGGGCAAGGAAGTTGCATAAATGCAGAATGTTTTAGCAGGTTTGGATTCATTCATGCTCATTTTCTTAGAAATCAGCATGTGAACTAGAGGACAAAAGCATCAGCAACTTCTGCAGTGGATAAAGGATGAGTTATAGACATCAAGGGAAGATGAAGGAAAAGTCGTTCTTGACGCAAGCCATGCTGCCACAGTCCCCTGAGGGTGGAAGCATACGAGTCCCATCACATGATGTCATCCTGAGACAACCAGACTCCAGCAAACACACATGAGGCTACCAGTGATCTAAGGAAGAAATCAGGTGAGAGCTTCTCATGTGATAAACAAGAAAGCAAATGCCATTCATCTCAAAAACATGAATGTGATCCTTTAGAAGCATTACCTTCAAACTATGGGATTCAGGGTGTAAATGACATCTAAGAATGAAGCACACTGCTTCATTGTAAGCCAATAGAGAAGTATAAGAAGAAAAGATTATAAGAGTGTCCCTTTAGCAACAACCACACCACACAGCCAGTCACTGAATCCACTGCTCTGCCATGCACTGGAAAGCCCTTATGCATTATATTCTATATTGCAAACAAAAATATGGAAATAGTTTTCATGAATACCGACTGGGTATTTGTAATCTACACTCTTTCCAAGGCTGAGTACATTTTAATACTTATGTCACACAGAGAAAAGAATCATGCATGGGAGTTTGACCAGATTCAAGTCTAATTTCCACAATTCCACAATTCAAGATTAGAAAAGATGTCTTTTTGTTAATAGAAGGGAAAAAACCCCACTGGACATGCAAGGAGAAATTACCAAATAGACATGACCAAGTGTCATCAGACAGGGGTCATTTTTCTCATAAGTTCTGGCTCCATTTCTTTAAATACTGGGGTTCTGACAAAATGGCCTTCTCAGAGGCCAGTGTTTCATAAAACAACACTGTAAGGTCTTAACCCACATTATAGAGTAGATTCTTTGACAAAATAAAAGGCAGTATTTTATAAGATTTGGGTCTCTGCGATAGCCTCACAAGGGGATGCCCCAAACTACATCTGAAGGACCCTGTGTGTCCTTTTTGTGCTTGTACCCATTCCTGCTCAGGTGATTTGCAGTGATCACGTGATGGTTGGCTCTGTGCTAACTGCAATAGAATTTCTTAAGGAGCCTAATGTCTCATGACAATTCCTTCAGTGTCCTCCAGGCCTGACATTTAACCCAAAAGGAAGTTCCCACCCAAGTTTGCTTGTGACGCCATCCATTACCAGTCGTCTCTGCTCTTGAATGAGAGTCTTCCTTTGGCGTGTGGGGATATTCCCCGTGCCATCCGTTGCCAAACCACTGTTCTCTCTGGGTAGCTGTTTCTTCAGTTGTTCTATTAGGAGTCGCCTGGACTGTGAGAAGAAGGTCAGTTGTGAGCCTTGCTTGTCTAAGCTCCTCGCCTCCAGCTGTCTATACACATGGGGAGAAAGGTAGAGAAGGAAGGTAGCAAGGAGACAGGCAGGCCACCGATAGTCGGAAAGAGATACTGGAAATCAAGTGGCCCAATCTTTTAATTTTCCTTGTGAGGAAACAGATTCAAAGAGCATTTAATTTACTCAAAATCGTATCGTCAAATTGGTATAAAGTGAGGACTAGATTACAGCCTATGAATCCTCAGTATTCTCCTTCTTATATTGTAGCCTATGGCTTCACATATCCTATCTGAGAGGGCTATTTGTTAAAGGAATAACCTCTTGGCTCCATTTTGGGGAAAGGAACATATTGTTTGACAGTTTATGACAGGATCAGCATAGTAGGAGGCCTTCTGAATGCTGGCCGGGTAACCCCAAATCACATACTGGCAAGGCACCAGCACTGGATTTTCCCAGCGTGAAGATGTTAGGGTGGCTGGGATGCTAGCAACTCCACTGACACAGGACATGGTCATGTTCTCATGGCATCTAAAATTGCTACAATCCAAAGACCTTCCTAACGGGTACAATGAACACCATTCAGACGATGGGCACACTTGTGTGTGTTCTAACTCAAGCATTACATGAGCTATCCATGTAGCTGAAACATTTGTACCCCCGTAATATTTTGAAACAAAACTGTAAAAGAATAAAATTGCTAAAATCACTCTTGAACAAAATTAACTGAGTGGAAGAAAAACTTTTCTAGTCAATATGGGGCACTATGTACACAATAGCATTGTGTGACACTCTTAAAATCTCAACTTTTGTTCTAAAAGGACAAAATGAGTGAAATAAAATTCCATCATTGTGTCTTCAGAAAAAGTCAGAAAGTCATCAATATTTTTGTCTATAGCAACTCAGTAAATTTTGAGTTCATATAGAAAATGAGAGCCTATAAACTTGCCAAGCCAAAGCATTGGATGTATTTCATTATTGGATGTAAAACTGGATGTATTTCATTATCTTAGAGAATGGTATGTGTGAATTGATGACAGTAGAGACCCGTAAAAAATAAAACTTTCTGTCCTCATTTTACCCTTGCATTTGCCAAACCATTCCTGGGATTAACTGGTTATCCAGTGAGAGAAAAAAAAAGGCCCAGATCTCTTGGCTCAGCGCCTGTGGCTCAAGCGGCTAAGGCGCCAGCCACATACACCTAAGGTGGCGGGTTTGAATCCCCAGCCTGGGCCCGCCAAACAACAATGATGGCTGCAACCAAAAAAATAGCCGGGCGTTGTGGCAGGCGCCTGTAGTCTCAGCTACTTGGGAGGCGGAGGCAGGAGACTCGCTTGAGCCCAGGAGTTGGAGGTTGCTGTGAGCTGTGATGCCATGGCACTCTACCCAGGGGGATAGCTTGAGGCTCTGTCTCAAAAAAAAAAAAGCCCAGATCTTAAGTTTTACTTCCCACTGACTAGGTTACTACTCTTTGACAGATAATACAGTTGGAAAAACCACTAAAACTACAAAATCGGAAAAATCAATCCAAACATACTCTGTCATGTTACTCAGAGTCTATGTGAAAGAAGTCAAGAGTGTATGTTTGCGTACAGAGAATGCTATGTTTGTGTATATCAGAATATCTTCTTCCTATCGTAAGAGATGAAGGCTGATTCTTTTCTAGAGGTTGTAAAGTTCACTTGATAGAGCCTGGAAGTCACCAATCAGAATCCCTTGAAGATTTGTGAGTACCGAGTTGAGAACTGCACTTGCTGCTTTTTCTTTGTCAAGTTCCATGAAGTCTGATTTTTCGACTACTCTCTGGCACTGATACCCCGCAATGACCACTTTTTGACAACGGGCTCATTAATTCCTCTGAAGTGTAATAGCTTTCTTCTCTTTAAATAGACACTGTCTAAATAATTTCTAAGATATATTGTTATGAACCAAAGGAAACTAGTACAGCATCTTATTCCCAAGAGATTTCAGCTTGCTTTCTATTTCTTTGTCTTATCAGAAGACTCCTTTGTTAACTCAAGCCCATAATCCTTATGCAAACATCAAATCTATTGGGGTAAGTGATGGCATGTAAAGCCCGTTGGACATGTTCAGTGCAATGCCCAGGATTTATTAACCCGCATTCTAGCTGATGTCTGAAACTTTGGTTGTCTGAAGATCTCTCTCAAACCATAGTTCTAAACCCCTTTGGCGTCTAAAAGGCCATTTCCTATGTTTTCTCTTTAGGCATTTTTAAGGCTGTGAGAAAAATAATTGATCCATTGTTTTTAAAAAAGCTATAATCTGTTTTTATCCAAAATAATATTTTTAAATTTTGAATAAGATAGGCATCTCTCAGTGGGATAGAGAAAAGAAGAAGACCACATATTTCTTATTGGGTGAGGTTTTATCCTAATAGTCTAGTAATGACACTCGAGATTATTTTAGAAAACATGAGATGTTTGTAAAACAGTAGGAATAACAGTATGAGCTATGAGCATTAAAGACCCCCCCCCAAAAGGGGGGAGGGCTTAAAAATAGAAAAAGAGCAGTTGCAGAATCAAATATAGACCATGTGTGCTACCAATTTCCCTCCCAAGTGTACAGGGGATGCCTTTCTGTGAGGAACAGAATGTGGGGAGGAAAAGTGTGTTCATTAAAGATCGTCACAGAAAATAAGGTTCCCAAAGATTGTTTCACAGGTCAATCTTTCTTTCCAGATTCTACCACTCTGCACCAAAAGAACACACTCTTCATGACACATTTCCATAAACACCCATAAGTCACCCAAATGGAATCTCTAGGAATGTTTAACACAAAAATTGGATCTCAGATCTACTTTTTAAACATATTGGCCTTTGGGCAACCTAACCAGTTAGCATTTTTCTTACAATTCCTAAAAACTGTGTGTAGATTTGGCAGCTTTTCAGGCTCTGGCTCTACAAAAGATACTACTATGTGGAAACAGGAGATGTGCCCAGTATCTAAACAAATCTTCCTGTCTCTGGAATGTCTTCACTAACTCAGGTAGACCAGAGCTGCTGACTGCCATCTTTACTATTCTTGTAACATGCTGGGTCTCCCCTTCTTTACAGTGCCCATGGTGAATGAGAGGGGGGTGTGGCTCCTCGATCCAGTTTCCCCCACAACTATTAATACCACTTCTGTCTATTCTACTGTGATGTTGGTTAAATACACTGTAAGTTGTTATCAACCAACTTTTAATGACTTTGTTCGTCCATTAAAGTACATGGTATTTAACAGTTCTATGCCTAAATAGTGCCTCTAAGCATCTACTTTCAAAGATTGGAGGTGACTTCATTGATCTTTCCCAAGAGAAAATCAAGGAGGATTTCTTCAAATGAATGGGAAAATCAGTGTGGAATTTCTTCATGGTTACTTGTTATTCCACTATAACCACTTGGTCAAGAGCAGCACCGCACCATAAAACATTTTAGTATATTCATTTTTATAATGAACAACACAAAATACCCTGAGCCCAGACAGTATTGTTGATAAATGGCTCTTAAATGCAATTGAGTACCCCCATGAAACTTCACTAGGAGTTTGTGGATGAGGTGTTAATTTCCCACTGTGTCCCGATCATTGACTTTTGCAGCATCATAGGCTTTGAAGGGTAAAAAAATCTTTAAGTATGCGTAACCCATTACCAGTCATCCTTGTGGTTGTCTCAAGTAGTACTTCCGGATTTGAATGGCTTGGGTTCCACTGGGTCCAATCCTGGTTCTGTTTTGTGTGGTCAAAAACCCGTGGTGTGGTTGAAACTGTGATAACGATGATTGAGGCAATTAGGAAAATGTTATTCTTGAGCCTTCACCAGTTGTTTTGTGCATTTCTCCCTTCTGTGGTCAACACAATGAATCATCTATACCAGGTTGTATAGATGGGTACATGGGAATGGAGGGAAAGCAGAGAGCGACTTCAGCTTAATTCAGCTACTTGCTAAGCATCTCAGAGTCCTATGCATTCTGGCATAGAATACCTTGGGGTTCAGAACATGAGACATTCCAGAAAAAGTAGCCAAAGAAGCTCCAGCAGCCAGGAAGAACAGCTTTGAAAACACCAGCCCTCCACCAAGGATAAGCAAAGACGTCAGAGTTGTGCCCATCCATGCAGCCTGCAGCATCCCTCTGCACTTGAAAGCCCAAGAACTTTGTATTGCCACTGCTACCAGTGGGTCCTCAGGCTGGAGAGGTAGATACTGAAAGTGATGCAGTGATGATTATTTTATTCCATTAGTAATTTTGCTGGAGAAATAAACACCTGAATAGCCAGAGCTTTCCTATAAATGATTCCAAGAACCAATATCTACCTAAACCATCCATACGGCTGAGCTACACATTTCTGGATATTCATCAAACACCTATGTATTCTCCTCAAACACAAAACATTATCACAGGGAAGTTATTCACAGCCAATGAAAGAAAAACAAGACACACCATTCAGTAGGAAAAAAACACAGGCAACCAGCCACCATCATAGCAGCACACCAAAGAAAAAAGAGATGTCCATCCACCAGAGCCCTGATAGTGTCACCCAATGTGTTAGGGCTGGGAAGGGAGATGCATCTAACAGAAGGAACACAGTAAAAAGCATTATCAATGTCTTTTGTAAAAAGGTTATTTGCAAATCCATCCTAATTCCTTCAAATTTTATTTTGACACCCAAACAATACAAAATCCTTTCTAGAACTGTAATACTATCAGCTCTGTTTCACAAGTTCTAAATATCAAATTTAAAACCATTAACCACATTCACAGTAAGCAGGAAAAAGTGGCAGTTATCACACCCCTCAGAAAAAAAGATGGCATCCTGTTGAATTCTGTACACTGATACTAAGTAGAAAAGTAAACAAACAGGAAAATAAGCCATGGAGATTAAAAAATACTATAGGAAGTTTTTCTCTATGGCTTGACCATACGACTTACTTCGTGGTTGACCTGTTTGGGTTGCCACCGAGGAAGTTTAATTTCTCAAGTATTAAGACGTCTTCAGTAATGAGCCACCTGCAGGGCCATAGCCTCATCTCAGGCGACAGTGTAAAGCTCTAGGGTTTGGGGGTTATTTGGTTTTCTTTCTGAAGTTGCTAAAAAGAGTTCCCTTTTCTCTATAGACTAAACTCTGCATAGGAATCACATCTAAAAAATACTGCACGTAAATGTTTGTGTATAAAAATCTAGTTCGTCTCTATGGTTTGTTGTACCAATGCCATCTACTCAGTTGCCTTCAAGGCTTAAGCTGTTTTTTTCTTTTTTGAGGTCTTCCCTTCCTGGGCACTATCCATGTGAGGGTGAAACTCTCAAGTTTTAATGGGATAGACAGAACTTCAGGGACCTGTGATAGCTCATGAACTGCTATAGACTGAGGTTCAGGACTCTCAGCTCTTTTCAGCAAAGTCTTAGGTCATGACAGCTATGTGCAGAAAACTCAATTATCTGCAGAATATTAGACAAAGTTTTGCCTGTTTTTCAAATGTTTTATGGTCACGTAAAGCTCAATTTCCATCTTTTGTTCTCAAAAAATTTTATAATTGTCACAAATGTGGGTATTAGAAAAATAGTGGTTCCACTATTCGCTTTTAGTAATAGCTTGTTAACGTTCAGGTGAGCTGACATTTGCCTCTCCCATCAATGTCTTTCTGTTATATTGGTGTCCAGTTCATTTGTTAAGACTCTGGATTTGTTCCTTTGACTTCAACCATAAGACAATTCTTGAGTCCTACTGCCCATCATTTAAGCCTTACTAGGGCCTTCAATGTAGCGTCTTCTACAACTTTTAATTACTAGCCTGCTAATCGCCTTCTCTAAGCCTATTGTTCCAACAGCCCATCAGCTTCTTGAAAGCAAAGGCTCTTGCTTGTTTTCTTCTTTATGTTCCCTGCGTTTAGCGCAGTCGGTATACAATATTATTATCATGTTTAATATGTCCCTTCTCTGACAAAGCTTGATAATTTAAAGAGATTCTGTAGCAGAAGACCTCATAGATAAAACGGGAAGAACATGAGGCATGAGAAATTCTAAAGGAGATATATTTATCCCCTAAATATATTTTGGCTTCCATTCAAAAACTTCTATTTCTTCTTCCACAATCTCATTAGGGTATAACTAAGGTATAATCACAGGTTCACTCACTTTCCACATAACTATTTCCCAAGAGAGAGACTATTCATATTTGGCATCACTCAGTAATCAGTAAGCCTTGAATAAAAGGTTCTACTGTAATTGATTGTTCTTACTGGTACTGGAGATAAAATCTTCATCATCATCAATGCCTGATCCAGAAAAACTGATGGGTTTGTCTCTTTCATCTTCATTTTCTTCATTTGGCTCCCAGCCTGCTGAGATGGTATTTGAATCCGTACCTGTTGTGGTGACTTGCATTAGTGGTTGAGCAGAATGCCAAGCAACCCACTTGCAAAGGAAGGAAATCAGGCACAGAAGGCATAACGAGTTTCCCAGGATTTTAAAAACAAAGTGAGAAAGTTGACTTATGTGCCCGGAATTCTCAGGCCTTGGCTCTGAAGCTAATATATAGATCTCACAACAATTGGCTATGCTCCTTACAGCTGAACATTCTTTTCAAGGGAAGCTAAAGGAGTAAATACGGATGCAACCCCACAAAATGATATTTTTTTAAAGCCAATGAAAACTCCCTTATGCTTTCAGAGGCATTTATTAACTCGCTAAGCACATGCCATTAAAGATAGGATGTCAAAGACAGAATGGAAAAAATTCACATGGGCCTATTTTCGTTGTCAAGATACCTTCAGAAAAACCTTGGAATGTAAACCCGTTTCCATCATTTCTAAAATCTCACAGTTGTATTCACAATTCACTAATCAATTGTTTATCTTCTCCAGCAACAGATCACTATAATTCTAAATGCGAATGGAAGCCATACTGCACTTCCCAACAATACTTGAGCACAGAGCAAAAAAAGTTCAGTCAATTAGCAGAGAAATAATTCCTGGCATTTGTTAACTAATCAAAAGGGTTCACTACTATAGATTGTACTTGAGATTTGAAAAATTATCACTTTTTCCTTTTTGATGCAATCATAAAAAAGGAGACAGAAATCTTCCACTTCCTCTCAGTGACTACTGTCTAGAAGATATCCCTTTACTGAAAAAGAGATTTCCTGCATTTTGGATGAGATTCAGGCTATCTTAGGAAATAACCATTTGCCTTTTTATAGGATTAGTTTCTACCCCAATGATGGTTCCATTGATGAATATTTCCTATATTTTTTCATATCTATGCTATTTTATTTTTTCATGAAAAGTCAAACATGTTTGTGACTTTGGTAATTTTAGAGAAATATGTGAGTAATCCTTCAGAGTCACAGTTTTCTTTCGTCATCAAGAAAAACCCAATGTAGCCTTTTCCTGGGCTACATTAATCCTATAGGGTAAAAGAAGAAATCTGCTTATTAGTGCTATGAAATCAAACACAGATCTCAGAGCTCATGAGCATTTGTGAGTACAAAATTAAGTAGGTTTTAACAACATCCCACAAGTCAATGAAAATTAGTAAAGACTGTCAAGAAAAGGTATGATATGAGATAATCAGAACTCATTACCAGCCATTTGTGTTGTTGTGTGAAGATGATTCTTGGACTCTGATGGTTGAAACAACCATGAAAACCAATGGTAGGATTCTTGCCTCTTGGTGGTTGTTTCAGGAGTTGTAGCACTAGAGCTCATCAAAGCTGTTGTAACCACGACTGAATCAATTGTTGAGAGATTAATTAATTGCAAGTTCCTACTGAATATTCTTGTATTCTTTTACTACTCAAGAGAGTCATCTATATTTGATATAGATGGTGTAAAGAGTAGGAAAAAGCAAAGAAATTCCTTTTATTTAGTAGCCCAAACTGGAGTTCATAAAATGTCAGAGATGGGAGGACCTTAAATATCATCTGGTTCATTCCCCTTAACTTAGAGACAAAAAGTTTGTGCTCCAAAGAGCTTCTGACTTGTCTGAAGTCAGAAGGCTAATTAGCAACAGAGGGGTCTTAAGGAGAGTGTGAAAGCTGTTTTGAGTTTTGAAATTATATAACATAAAAAAGGTATTAAGTTTTTCTCTCTGGATTTATGAGGCCAAACTAGGACCTCCAGTGACAATTTCAGGGAGATGGATGTTCTTTCAAATATTAGATGTGAGAAACCAAAGGTATGATCTATCCAGCAATGAACTTCTTTGTATAGTATTAGGTTCCCCTAATCATCAGAAAGATCACTTGGCAGGAAAGTTGTGTAAGAGATTAAATGATTAAGAGTGTTGACTGAACCAGACCATTTAACATCCTTTCCAAATCTGAGAGTTTAAGATTCTAAAACCCAGCTCTTCAGAGTGCTAGCTCCTTAATCTTCCACACAATCTATCTTGTGCAACCAATATCATCCTCCAAGAATTTGGGATATGATATTTCTGCCAGCAGTCACAGACACCTCATCCCAACCATCCAAAACACAGGGAAGAATGACATAGAGGTAGAACATTTTAAAACCCCCAAAACAAAGAACTTCCACTTTTTTCTTTAGAGTCTAAGTCCTCTAAGAACCTTTCCCATGATCATCTCCTGTATGTACAAATCAACCCCAGATTCTGTAAAGCGGTAAGTACAGAACATTTTGAGTCCTATTTTTGAAAATAGGATAATCAAACAGGAGATGAAGAGCCCACTGATAAGCCCAAAAGCAAGAGTCTTGATTTGAAAACTTCCAAAGACTGCCACTTCTGCAACCCTAAGATGCCGAAGAATATTAGACAGTAGAATAGTAGACAAAACGCACAGAACAAGTTCAAGCAGAGAGGCTGAAACCATCACGAAATCCCCAACGCGAAAAGGAAAGTGAGTTAGATTTCCTTTTATCAACTAACAAGAAAGCCCAGAATTGACCCAAGATGAAACACTGCCAAGAAGACGTTTTCCTTCACATTGTTTGTCCTAGGAAGATAAACATTGTGAAAATTGAAAAATAGCATTATTTTCATTATTCTGCAATCCTTCTCTCCCACTTCCCACCCCGGTGTGATCTTAATCACTGTGATAAGAGAAGCATAACATTAACATCAGCACTGTTTTCCTTACAGGATTATAGAAATAAAGGATATAATGTATCCACCGTCTTCTAAACTCAACAAACGTAAAGAACCAATTTTCCATTTGTATTACTCCCCTCTGCAGAAAGAAATGCCTGGTTATTTTGAAATATGTTTATTTCTTCCCTCAGTGAAAGTTAATGAAGACATGCCCGTAAACTCCCACTGATAGATAGTTTTGAATCTTTTCCCCTCAAAGTTCCCATATCAAAACACTTTGCAGAGATTTAGAGCTAATAGCCAAATATCCAAGGCACTTATTAGAGGCCTAGACTCTACTGTAGAGCAAGAGGTCCTTTCCTAACTTTACACTTGAGGTTTTTAAGTGCCCAAAGAAGTGCTCAGGGCCTATACTTTACTAGCAGAGGGAAATCTGCATTTCCTTCAATTATTATTGACATGATATTAGCTCAGCAGAATGTAGAAGCATGCATTTTCCAATAGGCTTCTTTCTAGAGGACATTTCTGAATGACTCCCATAGTCAATTCATTCATCGTTTTTCATCGTTTTATTTGCTCATTCAATCATTCATTCATAGGATTTTTTTCCTCCTCAAAAAGAAAAATAATCCTGATTTTATGTGGATGTTGCTAAAAGGAAAACAAACAGGGCATTTAAGAGTATCCAGTCACATCCCCAGGTCCACAAGCTTCTTTGAAGGAGGAAATGGTACCCGACTCTGCTCTTACTACAGATGGTGAAGGAGCAGCAGTGGGGAACTTTGGCATGATAAGGGACAGCCTTGGCCTTAACAGCAAAAGATGAAATAGTTTACCTATATTTGCTGTTGTTGTGAGATCCTGAGTCTTAGGCTGTGAATTACCAAACCAGAACCACCTCCAATTATTTTGCTCCTGAGTTGCTGTGTGGCTGTTGGAGTGCACAGTCGAGGTAACTGGATCAATTGTGAAAATATCATTTAGTGAGGTTCCCTCTAAAAAAAAACCCTTTACTTTTAGTTCTGTCTATATATGATGCCTGTATCTATTATTGAATCAAAATGAGAAAAGAAAATCTGGGCCTAGTTTCATCTTTCCAGCCTCTAAAGTCTCCCAGAATGTCAGAACAACATCAGAAATGCCAGTTCCATATGGATAGCAGCGCAGTGCTTCTCACTCTTCACACTAAACCCCCTGGATTCATGCTCTCAGCAAAATCAAGCAGCAACTGAATACCCTGTCATGGGAGGGGTTTTTTTATTTACTTGATTGGGTGATCAAGCCATACACTGGAGGCCTTAGAAGCGACATTTCCAAAGGTTGCTTTCCCCCATTTATCTTGGAGTATCTTTGGGTTTGCCTGCCTGTGTCTTTCAAATCTGTCTAGCACTGTCCCCAGCTGGTGATGACAACTGGCATTTCAAAGCTCCACCTACACTTGTCAACAAATCAAACTTTATACTTAAGCATGAACTTTTGCAAAAAGGGTGTATTCAAAGTGTTGGAATTAGATAAAGCTTCCTCAAGTAGCCATCTATCACTTCTGCCACTCTGGACTCTAATTCAGTCTATGTTTTTGGAGGAAAGAAAACCCCAAACTGCTAAAGTGAGAGAAATTCTAGACTATTTTCAAATTAGAGAAGGATAATCAGTGACATTTTGCAATTTGAGAGCTTCCATTTGACTCTCTAGTTTGATTTGAGTTCGGCATGTTCTCCTACTGAAGTAGAGTGGCAAACATCGTGGAGACAAACCTCTAAGCCAACTGAGATTAAAAAAAAAAAACACATTTTAAGTCATACATTCCTTGAAAATCTGATATAAGCTATGGTCTCTCTCTCTTCAAACCAGAGACCCTATATATGCATACTCTCAAAATTTTACATGTTATTTAAGGGGTTCTTGAGTACCTTACATCCTTATCTTTGAACCTACTGGAAGTCCACGAACCCTGGGTTAAAAACTTTGACTCTACATATCCCAAATGCCAACAACTGGCGCAATGTGTTCTGTGTTATGAAGAACACATCAGAGGTCAGGACACAGAGTAGGGCGACAGGAGCCAAATACACCTGCAATGCTCCCAGATAAACCTGAGCATCCCTCAGGAATTGCAGACACCCCATTCTCACACCAGAAACTTCACGACAGAAGCGAACTTCCCTCCACCTTCACCCTAGAAAATCCATAGAAGTGGAAGTAAACCCACGTGACAAGATAGAAATAGGCATGATTTCTGTCTTCCTGAATGGAGCTGTGTGAGACTCGGAAAAAATGGGAAAAGCTACTGGTTAGCCAACAGAGTTTACAGGTCTCCCCACCCCAGTAAGTCATGCCAGACCCTCCCCAAAATGATTCCTTTGACACCCAGAAGATAAGGAAATAGAGTGTTCCAAGGCAGGAGTCTGCTTCCTGAATTAGTTTAGCTTTCTGGATTCCAGAGAGTTGCGGATCACCAATAGGAAGAGGCTGAGGACACGCCTCCAGGAGGGCCCTTCCAAAAATAACATTGAGAATATTTACAGCTGCAAGTCCAAAGCTACCCAGATGGTTGTTCTTATTAGTCTTCCCTATTACCACCCACTAAGGACCCTCAAGAAAAGAATGAGCCAGCTGAGCCAAAGGCAGGCTTCTTCTGTGCACTCAGCCAGCCCCCCCTTGACCTCTGCCCCCTTGCAGTGCGGGAGGGAGGGTTTGCAGTCACTCCCTCTCTTGTCTGTCCCAGCTCTCAGTCCAACAGCGATAAGGTTTTGGGAATCTCCTCACTAGACTCTGAAAGCACAATTCTACTTAGGACTCATCAGCGCTAACTTTTCCTGGTATGACATTCAAGTTTCCACTGGTTGGTTTCTTTCATGCCCTTCTTTGCATAAATGAATCTTCCTGGCACTGCCATTGGTCTTCATGGATCCTATGGTATTTTTTTTTAACTCCATTTTTTTTTATTATTATTAAATCACAGCTGTGTACATTAATGCAATCATGGGGTACAATGTGCTGGGTTTATATACAATTTGACATGTTTTCATCCAACTGGTTAACATAACCTTCACGGCATTGTCTTAGTTATTGTATTAAGACATTTATATTCTACACCTAGAAAATTTCACATGTACCCTTGTAAGATCCTATGGTATTTTAATGACTCTCAGGTTAGCCCTGGACTCATCTGAGAGACAAATTAGTCTCCTCTTCTGTAACAACTGGAAGAAACTCAGCTAAGTGCTCTGGAAGGAGGAAAAAATAATTCTTTTCTCAACTCAAATCCTGAACTACATTTAGGTTAAGTCTCATAGCTCTTCTTTTCCTTGATTTCTGAACTTGGAGTAATATGTCATCTCCATGAAGAGAGGTCCACCTCTGAGTTCCCAGGAACTATAGCAGCGTCCAGCACAGAGAAGACCTCAAATGTTACTTGAATGAATAAAATAAATAAATATTTCACTAATCCTTACTTTTTCTCAGTATCACTTGCTCAGTGTTTACCAAGCATTCAAATAGCTTTAGGACATGGTCTGTAAGTCCTTAAAATAAATGTGTGGATTAACTAAGGCAGGAAAGAGGCAGTGTTTAGGAGATGTGATATAGAGGTTAATAAAATATGCCTACTGCCTGTTCGAAAATGCATGTGAAATACTGTTTTATACAGGCTATTTGTGGCTTGAATGTTCATCTAGTCTTGACAAGTTATGTCTCATCATGGTACTTTAGGGCAGACCTGTTCTGCTTCCTGCTGAGACCACTAATTACTATGTTTGCCAAAATTTGCCAAAATTGCACGCCCTAATGATAAACACCTCCAACGTATTAATAGTTACTTGCAAACGGCAAGGCACTGAAGAAGCACCAGGTAACCAGCACACGACCTGGTTGGTTCGCAGGAGCTCTCTCAAGAACGGTTGCCCATGGGACTGCAAACAGTAAGGTGATATGATCTCCAAATAATAATCCAATAATCCAGGAAAGCAGGAGCAGTTTGAAAATACTTGCTTTTCAACATGCTTCAAAGACTCTTCAGGGAATCATAGGAACCCCAAGCCTATTTATATCACCCCTTCCTCCTCAGCCAGTGACTAACAGAAATTTAAAACACCGTTGAGCAAGTAACCTTAAATTAAATCAGAGTGCTGTGTATGTTCCCCGGCTTCTGGGTGACAAGGAATAGAAAGGGTCCTGTCTTGAGGATTCTCAAGCCAGGTGTTTCTTGCCACGCCATCTGGAGGCAAGAGTTCCACCCTTCGGGAGCTGCAGCCAGGAAAAGAGAAAACCCACACCATACTAGGAAAAGAGCTTGGAGATTGCAAGCGCCCTTCGCGAGTCTGATGAATCCTTCACAGAAGGCACGCAGCCAATCTGAAAACCTGTTTCAAAACAAACCCCAGAGGGAAAACAAAAAAAAGGAAGCAAAGAAAGAGACAAGAGGGGGACGTAAACACTGGCCAATGGAAGGGAAGCACGAGGGACAGAAGCCCGGAAAAAATCGAATGCCGTGTTTACACAGTTCCACTCTTGTAGCCCCCAGTAATGAATGACCCGCCCACACCATTAAGCATTAAGAACTTGCCCCAGTAGGTTGAAATGCAGAACTCTTACGCTTATTTACTCTGATCATGAAACTCCACCAGATATGCTTCCTTGGGTCAAAGATAAAGGAATTATTTAGTGATTCGTGGTGGATGAATACGACTGAGTAGTATACAACCAACACGAGTATAAAACACAAAGTTAAGTGAATAAAGGAGCCCATGGAATGGTATGCGTACGCTGTGACCCCAACTTTACAGAAATACTCTTATCTGGAGGAGGATAAGAACAAGATAGAAACAAGGAAAAAAAAAATCTTTCTTGTAACAAGCTTGAATTGTCGTCATATGCACAGGGACAAGAGAATATGGAGAGGTCTTCTGAAAAAAAAAAAAAAAAACAAACTTTCCAATATGGTACTTCTTACCCCAAGGTAAGAAAAACAGAGTTACAGATGGGAAAAACATGTAGGCAGTTGCAGGCAATGCATGTGGAGCCCTGGCGACCACAACGGCCACCTTTCCAAATGTGAACCATGTCTACATGTGTAGAGACAGAAGAAAACTCAACACGTGAATGCCTAAGACTCAGGAAGGTCAGAGATATTTTGACAAAGAATCACTATGGGAAAGCACAACCATTCATTCTCCTTACTGGTAGCCGGGGCCCTCTCTGTGTTGTCAGAGAACCAGGGCGTGTCTGGGTCTGGGTAAGCTGTGGGGAGGTGGGTGTGGAAGATGCTGTAGCCTCCCGATGTGCTCCTCTCACTGGGGGATCCGCTGCTCACATCGTCGTCCGTGGGGTTGCTGGGGTTGATGTCCTCAGGGTTCGTTCTGTATTCTCCTTTCTTGCTGTAGCGAGTGCCATCTCGGTTGACAATGGCTGGGAGAGAGAGAAGGTACCTTCAGAACGTCACGGCTGATATTTGCAGTATGGGAAAGGTGGTGCGTTACCGTACACGTGGAACAGGGACTTGAGAGCTATTTTCTTTTGTAATAAGAAAAACCACATTGCGTGTTAGAAGAGAGTGGCTGATGCACTAAGAAAGTCTCCTGTCCCCTGCCCCCATGCACCCTGGAAGGGAACAGGGAGGGAAAGGGGAAGTTCTGGGAAGTCCTGGTGTTTGAATCCCAGATTCCTATAGCCCTAGCGAGGTAACTCTCTGAGCTTCAATTTCCTGGCTCATAAAATGGGGATAATGTAGCACTACCTTCTGGATGGGGTTGTGTAAGTACACTGCTCAGCATGACGGATGTTCAATGATCATCATCCTCCCACCTGGTTCCCTGCTGTCCCTTCTGAATGCATGTAAGATTCGGTGCTATTAATTCCATGTATTCCCCAAACAGATCTGAAGTAGAAGACAAGGAGCCCCAGAGAGAAGATACATTTGCAGACCATTGAAGACTTAGATTTTCTTTTGTAAGGGGTAGGAAATCAGTTCCCCTTCTGACTAGGGAATCAGTTAAGTCTAACTACCGCCAGACCTTCTGCTGTCCTCTGTTAAATTCAACCTTGAAATTAATGAGCACAGATACATAAAAGAACAAACTCTTTGGGTTAAGCAAGCAAATGACTAGAACACATGGAAAGAGAAAAAGCAAGAATGAATTTGTTCATTGTCCCTTTTTTGAAATATTTGCAGTCCTGGCCCGAGCAAGAGCAAGACCCTGTCTCTATTAAAAGTAGAAAAAGTAGCTGGGCATTGTGGTGGGTGCCTGTAGCCCTGGCTTCTTGGGAAGCTGAGGCAAGAGGATCACTTGAGCCCAGGAGTTTGAAGTTGCTGTGAGCTATGATGATGCCACAGCCCTCAAGCCCAGGGTGAAAGACTGACACTCTGTCTATAAATATCAAATCAAAACAACAATACAAATTTAAAAAAGGAATATTTGGTGCGTTCCAATCTGGGCCTCTCATTATACAAGTGTGCCTTTAACTGGGATGCCCTGTACTGCATTGGTGGGACTCAAGATTCTTTTTACCTACTATCCAGCTTACTTTAGTGCAGCGGTTCTTAACAGGAACTGTATTAAAGGGCTGCGGCATTAGGAAGGTTGAGAACCACTGCTCTAGTGGAACTATTGATAACACATAAATGAAAAACAATTCCAGAGTGTCAATCACTCTGATAATCTCTGTAGATGAAGATCTGGTAAGGAAATACGATTGACCAAACTCACACGGGTCTAGAATTAAGAGATCTGTGGGAATTAAAGAAACAGAGCGCCCTTATTGAACATCTATTATGGGCCATACATTAGACATAGTCTTGTTCAAATCTCATGCCTGCAATTGTGGCACTCTGGGAGGCTGAGGCAGGTGGATAGCCTGAGCTTAGGAGTTTGAGACCAGCCTGAGCAAGAGAGAGACCCTGAAACCTAGTCTCTACTAAAGATAGAACAAACTAGCCTGACATTATGGTGGGTGCTTGTAGCCCCAGCTACTTGGGAGGCTGAGGCAAGAGGGTTGCTCAAGCCCTAGAGTTGGAGGTTACTGTGAAGGCTGATGCCACAGTGCTCAACCCTAAAGTGACAGAATAAGACTCCGTCTCAGAAAAAGAAAAAATAAAAACATTCCATGACAATTCTCATATGTTGTTCCATTACACATATGAGAACACTGACAAAGTAAACCATTCCTCTAAGCTCACACACATGGTAAGGAACTAGGATTTCACACCAGGCCTGACAGCACATCTTGAATTGTAGCCATTGGGCTTCGAGGCTTCCTTCCCCTTTCTATTGGAAAGTACAGACAGGCCTGGAACAATTCTTTACATAACAGTGGGTGGCTGGATTTGTATGATCTAGGAAGATTCTCATTCCCCTGCCACTGCCACCACCATGCTATGAGCACTGCCGACATCCAGCTCTGAGGACACAGAAATCAGGCCTCCCCAGCACTGTGCTGCTTGCCTCCAAATTGAGGCTCAGAGGCACCAAGATCAGGGTTAGCAGACTGACCTATTTAAAAGTTCTGGTGAGGCTTGACGCCCTTCACTCAGGGGTTAGGGAGCTGGCCACATACATTGAGGCAGGTGGGTTCAAACCCAGCCTGAGCCTGCTAAACAACAATGACAACTGCAACCAAAAAACAGCCAGGCGTTGTGGTGGGCACCTGTAGTCCCAGCTACTTGGGAGGCCTAGGCAAGAGAATCACTTAAGCCCAAGAGTTCTAGGTTGGTATGAGCTATGACACCATGGCACTCTCAATAAATAAATAAATAAAAATAAAAGTTCTGATTGATATTTTCAGACTTCTAAAGTATTAGATACATCCCTGTACAGATTGGATGATTTGAAATAGATACAGTATAAGTAATGGTGAAACCTTTATCAGGACGTTTACACTCTTCATAAATATCTTTCAATACTTCAGTTATATGAGATAATTCCTATGTAGGGTCAGAACATCCCTACCCTTGACATATTCTAAATCTCCCTCCATAAGAGAGAGCAGATTCAGCGTGTTTAATTTTTCTTACATTTAAATTTATCATAGAGGTTGCTTTCTTTTTATGACAAGGGATGATGGTCTATTCTACAACCAGTTCCTTTTTACAAATGAATGTATGTAAGTAGGAAAGAACAAGTCAACTAAATGGAAACTATCAAGCTGTGTGCATAGATACACACAAAAAATGTGAAAGTGGTTTCTAAATGACTGAAGTTGGAGGAACAAGGCATTAGAGGAATCAGGGAGCAGTTTTAAGGCCCAGAAGAAAAAGGGGAAGGGATACTGAATGGTGGCCAACCATCCCTAGCCTTAGGGAAATGACTAATATTCTATTCAAAGAGAAACCATAGAGAACACACCTAATCCTTTTCCCAAGAATGAGAAAACTCAATTAACGTTTAGACCAGATACGTACTTATGGTAATTGGTCCATCAAAGGCATTGGGCAGGTCTGTGACTGATGTACAATCTTCTCCCTCCGGAGCTGTGGGGTTGGGGGGAAAAAAAAAAAAAGCATGAGACCTCTTTAAAACTCTGAGCAAAATTCATTGCAATGTCTATTCGTCACTTAGGATGGAGTTTTATTATAACTTGTCCCAAATAACTTACACCAAATAAGTCTACTATGAACTTCTCTGCCCCTTATGACACATTTTCCATTTTTATTTCATTTCATACATTTCTGGAAACATAACTTACCACCTCCACCCCAGAAAATTCATTCATTAACAAATACACGTGTTCTGTATCAGGCACGAAGGATGCCAGGGGGTACAATTGTGAATAAAATAAACATGCAGCGTTCATGAGAGAGGGTTTTTTTTTTTTTTTAATCTGCTGTTATAAAGGTAAAGTGGGAACACTGTATAAAATCTTAAAAATAAAGAAATATATTGACATGAACTATCACGAGAAAAGCATTTATAATTTCAGAAATCTACAGGAATGATGGGAAAGTACGGCAGACACTCCTGCCCAAATGTTCATTTGTGAGAAGAGAGTTAAAATGGCATCTGAGAGTTAAAATAACCTAATTGAGGAGTAATTTACTTGATTAGAATATTTACAAACAAATAAATCTCTAGTCCTTCATTGGTGATTTGTTCATCGAGCTGGTCTTTCTAAGGACTTGCTCTGTGTAGACCACTTCTCAACACGTGGCTTCACAGAGTGGCCCCCTTTAGTCTAAGCCCCTCAAGAGTTTCCTGAGATTGCTGTTTTGGTGCATGTTATCAAGGGCACCTGCGGCTTCTTTTTCATTTATTTTCTATTCTTTCACCCTCTCCTTCAGGAGTAAGGATGTCCTGCAGGCCTGTCTGATCACCCATAGGTGTTATTGCCCGGCCCAGAGTGAGGCCCTCCAAAACGGCCCTGGAAATTGCATTCTGCCTGCCATGCCTTAGGTCTTAAAAGCAGATGGCACAGTGGCTTAATCAACCATTCCGTTCATGCCAAAATGCTCCACTCAGGGACTAGAACTTGTGTTGAGATCTAAAAACTCAGATAGCTTTAAACTGGTTTTGCTGTTATGGGAAGGTTGGATCTATTTGTGTATTGCAGCTTTTATGCTGGATCTGTGTGTGTGTGTGTGGTGGTGGTGGTGGTGGTGGGGGTGTATAAATACTTAAATGTAAAATGGCAGTCTGTTAGAGTAGATTCTCCCGGAGCTGCTTTTGGCAAAGAGGAAAGAAGAAAGAGATGGGTAAATGAATGGATGGATGGAGGGGTGGAGGCGGCAGGCAGGCCCTCACTGCTATCACAAGGACAGCTGTTATCACAGTATTTGGTGTGTCCTGCCATAAAGTGTTGAGTTCTCATAACAATGAACAAAAATACAAGTTGAACAAAACAGGTTTTGTTTGCCTTCCAGCACTGGGAAACATCAACATCTTTTTCCAGCAAGCACAACAAAGACATTAACCTCCAAAATGGTCTCCAACAAAGACATTAACCTCCAAAATGGTCTCCAACAAAGACATTAACCTCCAAAATGGTCTGTAAATACGTACAAGTCAAGAAGCCCTTAGATAAATCCTAAGTGGTAATGTATAAGAAATGATTAAAGAAAGCTATGACATAACTATTCATTTACTCTTCTTTTTTTTTTTTTTTTTTTTGGCGGAGGCTGAGTTTGAACCCACCATCTCATATGGGGCCAGCACCTTACCCCTTTGAGCCACGGACACCGCCGAATCATTTACTCTTTTTAATCATCTACTCAACACTATACACAACATATAAGAAAAAAGGAGACAAAAGATGAACATGTTTCTGTCATGGTGGGGGGTAGGAAGAGAAATAATAATGTTTCTTTAGCTTTTTACAGTTTTTAAAAAAAAAATTCAAAAATTTTCTTACTTGAAAATAAAGGTGTATTGCCCACACAAGAGAAAAACTCAATGCAATTCAAGTCGGGGGAAGACAGAAGGGGAGGGGAGAGGAAGGAGGAGGGAGTGGGATTGGTGTGTCTCACCTAATGGGGACAATGTAAGGGTATATGGCAGACTTCTGGGTGAGGGACACAACTACAAGGGGGACTTTACCTAACAAAGGTAAACATTGTAACCTAATCCTTTGTACCCTCATATGAATCTGAAATTTAAAAATAGAAATACTAAAAAAAAAAACAAAAAACAAAATAAAATGCCTAAGAGAGAAAGAAAAGAAAGAAAGAGAGAGAGAGAGAGAAGAAAAGAGGAGAGGAGAGGGGAG